GTAGGGGGCGTGCGCGAGCAGGAAAAAAATGCCGTCTGGCGACGGCAACCCGCAGATAAGAGTCAGCCGTCCGTCCGTTTTTTCTTAACGGGCGGACGGCATAGGTTAAAGAAATATCTAATTTGGTTAAAAAAAACTCATACATTTTGGTGTATTGTATTCTCAAGAGATGAATAACACATGAGTTATTTTACCTCAAAACTTCAAGCGGTGTTTAACTCTTAGGCTGGGCACACACCTTACAACCATCGCAAGACTTTTGTCTTGCGATGGTTGTAAGGTACTTAAAAAAACGTACGATCTGCCTATGTTACATAGGCAGATCGTACTTGCGATGATCGCAAGCCACGCCCCCTGAGGGGCGGGCTTCCAATGACCGCAATGCCGAACGGGCAGTGTGCGCTTGCGCACACCGGCCCGTACGGCTGTTATCGTACGGACATGCCACAAACCCGCCGAACATCGTACGATGCTCGGCGGGTTTTCGAACATGTCCGTAAGTTTAAAGTCGTGCGACCTTACAGTAGTAGAGGTCACACGTCTTCCACACACCTTACGATAATCGTACGATCGCGGGATTTCCCGCGATTATCGTACGATTATCGTAAGGTGTGTGGGCACCCTTAGTGAAATGACACCACTTTTTTTTGTGTGAATTAACTTTAACCTATTTCATGTGATATTTATTTACAGGGTTATTCACAAAAGGGGGAAGGGTTTGGAGAAGGCAGGAGAAGTGAACAATCTAGGCCAACAAAGCTGATTTGGAACAATTCTCCAATTCAGCTCACTTTCCAGTTCAGCTATGTTGTCCTAGATCCTTGGTTCTCAACTGGTGGGTCGTGACCCAAAAGTGGGTCGCGACCCCGTGTTCAGTGGGTCGCCGCATGCCTTCCACTTTTCTTGGCGAGAGGCTTCTCAGCCTCCTTTTAGTGCAGCAATATCAGTTCTCGCACTGAGCAGCCATTCAGAATATGCTGCCTGGCACTGAGTGTCAGCTTGAGGTGGGGCTGCCAGGGACCTCCATCCATACATGCATTGCTTATAGCTCCCTTGCATGTCCTGTAGCGGTGCCTGGACTGGAGTGACATCACATTCTGGCTCCCAGCACCGCTACAGGGTGCGCATGGGAACTGTATAAGCAATGCACATATGGATGGAGCTCCATCACAGCACAGCAGCCCACACTACCGTGTGTTCCACTGCAGTGCAACGTGGGTCGCGACTTAATGACCGACGACAAATGTGGGTCTTGAGATTTACAGGTTGAGAACCACTGTCCTAGATTGTTCACTTCTCCTGTCTTCTCCAAACTCTTCACCGTTTTGTGAATAACCGTGTTAATATTTTTTAGTTTTTGCTTTATTTATCTCACATATTTTTATTCAATTGACCTTTTTATATCATGCGATATTTCACTAAAAAAAGGTCACGTGACCATTTTATCTCATGAGATAACGTTTCGTGAATTGACCCAAAGTGTGCAAAGTTCTGAGAAAACATAACCAGGCAGGTTATGAGTAGAAGAGCCGAAAGGAACCAAAAAGCATTCCAATGAACCATTGCAAAGTTTTATAGCTGTTTGTGTCTCTGCTGGGAGGACTGACTCTCTATTTGTCCAGCTGACCATTGTCACCAGGCCAGAGATTGATGGGAAATATAACATGTTATGGCCATCACCAGAACAGCGGGTTTAGGGAAATATAACATGTTATGCCCATCACCAGAACAGAACAGCAGCGGCGGCGGTTTCCCTTGTCAGCTCTACCGCTGCAAGGGCAAACGAGAAAAAAACATTCCCGACTCACTTACAGGCACAGGGTGCCCGCAGCTCAGAGGAAGATCCAGTTTCAGGCTAATGCGGTTGCCCGAAATGGCGGTAGCCGAAAACCTCAGCAGCCGCATCTGTTAGAAAATGTAAAGTGCCAGTGTCGGCACGGAGTGTCTTATGTCCGGGTGCCTGCTGGCTGGATACCCGGACACAAGACTCCAAAACTGGACTGTCCGGGTGAAAACCAGGCGGGTGGCAACCCTAATTGAGAGCGTTAATGCTAGAGTGCTAGTTATGTGTTTAGAGCTCAGGAAGCTCATATCTCACAGCAGAAGATTAGAGCATAGAGATTACCTGTAACCTGTGACGGTCAAGCAAGCAAATATTGCTTCATGAGCTGATGACACCAAGAGCCAAACCTGAAAAGGGGTCTTAAGGGCCCCTTTACCACTCATAGAATAAACCTGTTCTCCCCGGGTGAGTACATAGTCAGGGGAAACTGATTTGTTCACCACCAGTGGCGTAACAACTGGGGGGGCAGCAGGGGCGCCGGCCGAAAATGGCACTTTCGGCTAAATGCCGAAAGTGACATTTTCCTGCCGTTTTGTCGGCGCGGCCGTGATTCCTTTCATCCCCGCTGGGACACAGAGCAGTGCCCAGCAGGGATGAAAGGAATCAGAGAGAAAATGACAGCCGGCCGAGCGCTGCGGGACGAGCGCTGTGAGCGGCCGGTGTCTTTCCTCCCACACCGCTCGGCCGCCTATCACAGTGCAGCAGAGCGGTGTGGGGGCGGAGACAGCCAGCGCTGTCACAGGAGGCTGGGCTCTCCTCTTGCAGCCTCCTATGACAGTGTGTGTCAGAGAGGAGAACGGGTACAAGCACTCAGTGATCAGTGATCGCTGAGTGTTTGTACATAATTGAGGACCTGGTATGTATACTATATCCTCAATTATGAATGAATGGGAGTGATCTACATCTCCTCCTGTTCATTCATAATTGTAGTTATAGTAAACATACCATGTTATCAATGAACAGGAACACTCATAAAGGATTCCTGTTCATTGATAACAGGGGACACAGAAAAAGAGATTGAGGACTCTGTGTCCTCAATCTCTTTTTCTATTTTTAAAGGGAAATATCAGGGGTCTGTTTAGACCCCCAATATTTCCCCGAAGCCCCTAAAAGTAAAGTAAAAAATAAAAATATTTAATAAAAAATTAATTAATAAATAGAAATTAATTTAAAAAAATGAAAAAGTTTCTAAAAAAATAAAATATTAAAATTTGAAAAATTAAAATAAAAACATGTGTGTGTGTGGTGGAGGTGCAGGGTACAGTTCCAGTGGTTGTTTATATAATGGGGGGGTGAAAAAAAAATTCTGCCCCGGGCACCCAGAACTCTGGTTACGCCACTGTTCAGCACTAGTTACAAACTGTGCCTAATTTCCAGTGCTGGGTCTTGGAAGTCAAGTTAGGGTTAACTTGACTCCTACAGGCAAATTTGAGGACTTACATAAAACTCAGCTTCCTATATCTTTGGAATTACTCTTCATTTTCACAGACTGTCCTGTAGAAAAGCAACTTCTACATATACACATTTTTAACTTATGCTTCAACTTTCCAATGCTAAGAATTTGTTTCTGGTTCCTTCCTGTGTCTAGAACAATCCTATAAATGGTGTTCTTTCTAAAAGGAAAAATTGATGTTGTTTTTCTGAAACCGTTTCAATTTTACAATCAAATAATGACCAGTGGAAGTCCTCTTCCATCGTATTTTAATTAGTATGTATATCTGGCATTATAATGTTCTTCTTGTCTAAGTTTGCTGCAACTTATATTTTTTCTTTCACACGTTAATATATATTTACTCTCCCCTCACAACCAAACAGAATCTATATTTAATTCACCTGACTTCAGTAAACAGAATTATTATTATTATTATTATACAGGATTTATATAGCGCCAATAGTTTGCACAGCGCTTTACAATATAAGGAAGACATTACAGTCACAATACAATTTAAGACAAGATGGTAAGGAGGGCCCTGCCCGTGAGGGCTTACAATCTAAAAGGGAGGGGCAAGTGATACATGAGGAGGTAGCTGTGCGGGGATGATTGTTTGAGAAAGTGATTGTTCAGTGGTTAGGTTGAGGTGGGATAGGCTTCCCTGAAGAGATGAGTCTTAAGGCCCCATTCACACCAGGGCGGTTGCGGATCAGCGCAGTTTTCACACGGATTTTAAAAGGGCTGTTTTGGGTGTTTTACATTGCGTTTTAGCGCTGAAACGCAATTAAAAACTGCCCAAAACCGCCGCGTGGCCAAATTCACACCAGTACGGTTCAGCCGCACGGATTTGGCCACGTGGCTCCGCCAACATGAACGATCCCATACATTGCTATGGGGACTGTTCATGAGACCCCACGGCTCCTCGCAATCCGAACCGCTTCCCGCCTGAATTGCTCCCGGACCCTTTTTTGCCGCGCTGATCAGCGTGGTTTCCATACTGCTTTTATGGAACTGTGTGGTTTTGGGCGGTTTTTAATTGCTTTTCAGCGCTAAAACGCAATGAAAAACACCCGAAACAGCCCTTAATCAATGGTCAAATGGCAGGACTTTATTGGCTAGTATAGACTCAGAGATTTCATATTTGAATGACAAGGGCTATGGCTTTGCACCAAGAGGCAGTAGGGCTTCATTTTAACTTGAACAGAAGTTGAGGGCTCATGTAC